ATCCCTGGTTTAGAGCATAGCATACCTGATAGTGTCTCTTTAAACTGCTCTGCTCCTACTTTATAAAAAAAAAATCTGAATGCTGTTTTCTTCTCTCTTCTAGTTCTGTGCTTTCCCACACTGAAGCATCGATTCTAGACTTTCTGTGCAGGTGAATTAACTTTTTTTCCAACTATAAATTTAGAGAGAAAGCTGCAACTTTCCCTAAGCTTTCCTAAACCTGCTCTCTGTAGAAACAATATAGTTGTAAAGATGGCAAAGTCAAAGCTACAGACAGTGGTAGACTTAATGCTCACATATGATTAATAGATTTTTAAGAACAGAAGTGGCCCCATATAACAGAGTTCTCCATTTTTTTCTTAGTTTGGTCATGTATTAATAAAGAGGGTGTCTCTCAGACACATTTCCCATTCCCAGTTTTGCAGCCCTCACTATCTTTAATGATCACACGGCAGCCTGGTGTAACTACAGCAGTTGCTTACATGGAAAAATAATGCCAAGGAAGTACTTTATTTTTAAAAGTTCCACTGGTGTGTCTGACCCCTGAAAGTGGTTCTATTGTAGAAGTGTTAAGCTGGTTACTCCCTGATTTCAGCTGTTTGTTCAGGCGTCTAGGCTCTTCCATACATCGAAGCACTTGGAAATCAGGAGATGATGATGTATGACAACACTCCACCACAACCAGAAAAGTTCCATGGCTCACCAGAAAGCCACAGAACACACTGTGAGAATACAGCTCGAGGATAGCTAGTGGGGTCTTAACTCCCTTTCCCTGGAATATCTTTGGCTAAATGTCACATGAAGATAGAAGGAAGCCTATGAGTACATGGACAACATATTTATTAACTGTTGTCTTCATTTTCTGAGGGTTTTAGCTGTTTACATTTAACCTGGTATTGTATAGTAAAAATCTAATTCACCAAGTAGTCCTTCTAGTATCTTCTTTTCTCACTTTTCGGGCATCTGAGTTGAAACGGTTTCTCAGTTTTGCTAATTCATGGTTATCTTGAGATCTCTATGGAAAATTTCAGTTGATTTCTTCAGGAATTATTCTGAAGGGGGGTGTGAAAATTAGTATATGTTTTTCACCAGTATTACTACTCGTCAAATCTGTCCACTGACTTCCTGTCTCCACCACATTAAATGCAAACTTTGGTCCTTGCCTTCAAGGTTCTCCTCAATTTTACTCCCCCTACTTGTCCCATCTCACCATTCTTTTGTTCTGCCAATGATGGCAGACACTTTTTTTGCTCACTTTTCTTACAAGCACCTTCATGCCTTCTTCCATGCTGCCCTTTATGCATGGAACACCTTCCCCAAATCAGTTTACACAATCACTACTCTATCCTCCTTCAGATCCTTTAAGTATCACCTCTATTCTCGTACCCATGTAAACTGCCCAATAACTATGTAAAGGGACAAGGTGGGTGAAGTAATATCTTTTATTGAACCAACTTCTGTTAGTAAGGGAGGCAAGGTTTGGAACAGAAAGTTGGTCCAATAAAAGATATTACCTCACCTATCCTGTCTCTCTAATATCCTGGGACATGGCTACAACAACACTGCATCAATAATGACTATGTAAGCAGCCTGTTAGTAACTCATTAATAGCACTTATTCATATATCTTATTTATAAAATTTTTAAAAAATTATAGCCTACAAATTGTACATTTAGTTAAGAATATCTACAACCTTGCCTTCCTTTTGCTAGTACCCTTGTCTTCTCCTTCCCGCTTCCATCACGATTAACACCCTAGTGCATCTTGTTCCTATATAATCTGTAAATTCTTTGGGGGCAGGGGCTATCTGCTAGAGTATGTATGTATAGCACCCAATATAGTAAGGCTCCAATCCTGAACTGGAGCCTGTGTGTGATGCAAATAATAATAATTTGTCAAAGCAGAGTATATAGAGCCCAGTCATAGCCTGTGTCACTGCCTCTTGACATGCTTCTCTGCTCAACTTTTCCCAGATCATTGGCAACTTACTCTATTATCGCTACATGAACCCAGCTATTGTTGCTCCAGATGCATTTGACATCATTGACCTTTCAGCTGGAGGTCAGCTGACTACAGACCAGCGCAGAAACCTTGGTTCCATTGCAAAGATGTTACAGCATGCTGCATCCAATAAGATGTTCATGGGAGACAATGCTCACCTAAGCATCATTAATGAATATCTCTCTCAGTCCTATCAGAAATTCAGGTAGGAGATCCCAGCTAATAGGATGGGAAGTATGGAGAAGAGCCATATTGCAAAGAAATAAAGGTAATATTTGGGCTACCTGCTGAATTTGAACTGGTTCAGTCTCTTAAATGTGCAGTCTGTTGAAAGTGTCAGTGATTGCATTAGAAGGTTTGGATCAAGGCACCCTGCAGGTGGCAAGAAATGCTGGAACGTCTTCTCTTAACTTGCCATTTCTTTTCTTTTAAAGGAGTGGGTCAGAAGATTGTGCCCTGAATCAGACTTAAAAGCTTTGTGCAACGGCAGTTATTTGTGTTATAGATTATATACTATATACTTATAATTAGGTTATAAGTATGTTATTAAGGTTGAAAGATCAAGCACTCTAAAGTTAGGAGATGCCACAATTAACGTTGCCCTTGTGTGTATTTATTATGATACTGTCTTGATCATGTACAATTTTTCCATATGACCCCTTCAGACCACATTGCCTTATCATGTGAGGAAGTAATGAGCACAGAGTTGGCAGTCAGGAGGATCTGAATTGTAATCCTACCTCTACCAGTGATTCACTTTGTGGCCTTAGGGAAGTCACTTTGTTGTCCTATTTCAATTTTCCTGCCAATAAAATGGGATAATAATACTCTCCTATCTTGCAGGAGAGTTGTGAAGATAAAATCACTAATATTTGTGAAGCACTCTGATATTATGGAAATGAGCACCATAAAGCCCATGAGGAAATTTAATAATTTTATATTCATTGCAGGGTTTGGACAGCATAACTAAGGCATGGGGCCATACAGTAAATAATGAGTGAGGGTAAAAAGAAATGTGCCCTGAATACAGGAGTGGTCTAGTGGAAATAGCATGTGTTCATGTAATTAAAGACTGTATCACAACACAAAAGGAAGATGAAGTAAGACTACTTAATTGTAGAATAGCATTTCCCAACTTTTGAGTGCTTGACTTTGCAACCTTATTAACATTTTTAATGTATGTAATATCCTAGGTGGATATTTTTTAAAGGAAAAGGGCTAATACAAATTCTGTTCTCTGTAACTATGAAGGCCACCCCCGTTATGCATCATCAGCTTGGACACCTTAACCTGAAGCATGGCACCACAGACTCCCTCTTGCTGTACAGAGATAACTGCACTAGCTGGCTGCCAAAACAGTCCATTATCCTATGTGAACCAGCCATTAGAGGCAGATGCATAATTCCTATGGGGAGATGAATGAGTAGCCCCATTTTACAGACCACATAGCCAAGGACAAATATCTGGCAGGTTTTTTCTGAGAGACAATGTGGCTAAATGGATGGGATTTGGGATTGGCATATTAGAGATTTGGGTTGTGTTCTCAGTTTCAGTAATCTGTCTATTTATGAGGCCTTGCTTAATAAGGGTTATGAAGAGTACAGAATTAATACCAGTCAGAAGAAGTCAGTCTAGAACTTTTGATCTCCTGGCTCCTAGTACAGTACACCTTACTGTAGACAAAAAGGTATTTTGATGGGAGGCATCAGAGGAAGAAAAGAATAGGTGATCAATTATTTTTTTGAATGTCCCCCCGAGAGGTTCTATTCTGTGTGTGGATTACTGAAGTGAGGCACTGGGGCACTGTTTGTGCACAGTACTAATGGAATCTTGAGGTATGTTAGCACAAGCCAAATTCAAGCTGTACTGTGAAATACAGATGAGCAATGGTGATTTTCAACAGTTTATAACTCTGCCAGATCTGAACACATTTACAGGTCAATAAAAGGCACCTCCCTGGCCCCAGAACTGTACCCTGTCAAATTTCAAAGTCTTGCTACACACTATGTTGGTGGTAAAGCTCTTCAAGAAAGGATTATCATTTTTTATAATGGAAAGTGCTAGACAACTGAAATATAGAGGTCACATCTGCTTCCCCTATAATAATAATAATAATGTCTGATAGAACCAGACTGCCTCTGCTTTCTTCAGTTTCATGACCATAGAATCTCTCTCCCCGTTGGAAGTGTAAACGAAGCCACTAGAGATGCAGGGTAGCACCTGTCCAGCAGATACTGGGGAAAACACATTAGCATATCTTATGTACCTTCACATCATGTACTAAAGCTGACCCACAAACACCAACACACCTTCTTCTTCAAGTGATGGTCCCTGTTGTATTCCACTGAGGGGTTTATGCATGCACACCATGCTCCTGGAGCCGGAGAATTTTAAAGTAGTGTTCGCTGGCTCATGCATGCGCCCTGGCTTGCCTCATGGTTTCATCTGAGGTGATAAAGGGTGGACTGACAGCGTCTCCAGTTCCTTCTCACTGCCGCATGGTCCGAGTCAGAACTTTCAGCAGTGTCCTCATCTCTGACCCACCTTTAAATACATTGTTGTAAATAGTTCTTAGAATTGTAGAGATTTATAGTACTTTATAGCTGTTTTATCATAGTCCTTGTAGTTTTAGTGATTAGGGTTTATTTGTCTACCCTGCCTCCCCACACGCCCCCATACCCACACACGGGCACCGTACTATGCGCAGGACCCCAGGCTTGAAACTCTGTGCCTCCTGCCTGCATTTCTCGGGCAGCAATGAACACCAGTGCTGTCTCTACCGCTTGGGAGAAGCCCACATTGCATCTGGGTGTAGTATCAGCCAGTCCTTCCCCAGCTGTACCTGAGAAAGCCCTGCTCTCTGCCTCTGGAAGCACCTTCTTGAAGTCTCCATGAGGCTTCACTCGAACTTGGGCCGGGGGACCACCCCCTGTACATCGGCCTGAAACAGCGAAGAGTGCACCTCCTGCTACCGAGACCGAATCCAGCACCAGCGGTACCACCATTATGGACCCCATGCCAGAGCCTCCGCAGAAGGTAAGGAAGCATACCCATAAGCATGGGAATAAGTCTTCCTCAAAAACTAAGAAAGTGGATGCTTCTTCCACTAGTTCGAGCCATGGATACAGAGTGCACTCTAAACCACGTAGACAGAACAAAAAGTCCCACAAGCAAGGGGATCCGGCGGTCCCAGGTACTGGAACACGGTACCATCAATACTGGCTTCCCATAAGATGCGGGATCTGCCCACTCCGGGGAAGTCCACAGCACCACCACTAGTTCCAAGTAAAGAGAGGGTACCCTGAACACCAGGGAGATTGGGAAAGGAGTTTGAGCTCCAGGACGTCTTTGCCTTAGCAGAACCGGGATCACTGCATTTGTTGGGACCCACTACCTCTAGGGAGACTATTTCTTCCCCTCATGATATGACACTATTGTGAGACCCCTCACGTCCTGCTTCGATGGTCTATGCACTCCCACTGGCTCGACGGTACCGCTGATGAAACTAGAGTCTTCCTCTCATCCTCTGATAAGTCGGACACTGGAGAGGGATTATCAGTGTTGTGCCAACCGGACATGTACTTACAAAGGCGGTCCAGATCTTGGAAATAACCTCCTCTCCAACCACCATGGAGCCATTGGTTCCCTATGCCTTGGGGGACCACTTCAAGACCCTCTGGATCCAAACTACTGGGCTTATTGGGGGTCCTTGTCCCAATACACCCCCTCAGAAATTGACCGATCCACAAGGGAGCCTTCACCTGCCTCCCCATTGAGGGCCCCTTCTAGCAGGCATTTGGATCCATTGCTGGAGGAGGAACCCCTCAGCACAGCTCTGATAGTGCCACCAGAACTGGAGAGATTCCCCTCCTCTTCACTGGATGAAGCAGTGGCTACAGCATCCCCTTTGGCTCCGGACAACTTTAGGCAATTTCAGAAACTACAAATCCTGCATCTTGGCAAGAGGTTAGACTAGATGACCCTTTCAGTCCCTTCTAACCCTATAGTTCTACTGTGTAGAGTTGCAGGGAAACTACACATTCCCCTAGAGGAAATCCAGGATACCCAGCATAAATTCCTCAATATTCTCCACTCATCAGCATCACCTAGAATCACATTGTCTAGTAACAATGCCATTCTTGAACCAGCCGAAACAGTATGGCACACACCAACCACATGCAGGCCTATCCTCAGAGGGGCATAAAAAATATATTATGCTCTGGCTAAGGGGTCTGAGTTTCTCTTCTCACCCCCCTCTCCTGAACTCTCTGGTGGTCCAAGCAGCAACTGAACGAGCCAGACAACAACACCTGCGCTCCACACCATCCAACAAAGAGGGCAAGCGTTTGGGCCTTTTGGGGTATAAGGTTCTGTCCTCTGCCAGTCTCCAATTCAGGATTTCGAACTATCAGGCCAAATACGATTTCCTGAATTACAGCAGACTGAAGGAATTTGCTGACTGACTCCCACAACAAGACTGGACTCGTTTCCAGGCAATCATTATGAAAGGGAAACTGGTGGCCAGAACAACACTCCAACTGGTGATGGATGCAGGAGATACCTCTTCCAGGGCTATGTTATGTTATGGCTATAGTTATTCATAGGGAATCGTGGCTCCAGTCCTCCGATTTCCCTTGGGAGGTGCAAAACACTATTGAATACCTCCCCTTTGATGAATCCTATCTTTTTAATAAAAAGATGGATGCTTGCCTACATGCCCTCAAGGACTCCAGAGTCACCCTTCACACTCTGGGTATTTACACACCTGCTCTGAAGTGCAAGTTCCATCGCCCACCACCCACATAATGCTACTGATCCCTCCAATTTTACCATCAGCGACCTTATAAGCCACCAAGGAAGTGACAGAAGACCCAGAGATCCCACCCTCTGGGACCCCCCTTCACACACTTCCACCTTGCAGCTGCAATCCACAACTAAAAGATATTTCTGAGTCAACCTCAAGAACTGCCAACCGCCTTGCCTACCACATTACAACCATTCTACCTCCTTTGGGGATCATCCTACCACACCCTTTCCAAGCTTGGTGTGTGATAACAATGGACAAATAGGTGCTGAACATAATCCAACATGGCTATACAATCAAATTCATCATGCTACCTCCTCCAAAGCCCCCCAATCATTCCTCATGGACCACTCTCACGACAGCATCCTCACCCAAGAAGTGAACTCCTTAGTGCAACGGGAAACGGCAGAACGCGTTCCCCTAGAATATCAAGGAACTGGGTTCTATTCCACTTACTTCTTGATACCGAAGAAGAAAGGTGGGTGGAGACCAATTCTGGACCTCTGTCACCTCAACCACTTCATTTGCAAGCCCAAGTTTCATATGGTCACACTGGCAGCAATCATCCCATCCCGAGAAAAAGGCATGTGATTTACATCTCTTGATATTCAAGACGCTTATTTTCACATCGATATCCATCCGGCCCACAGGCTCCTAGTTGCACGGTCCAGACACAAAGCTCAAGTTTCAACTTCCATGCTGCTCAACCTTCTTTCATCCCTCGAATCTTCTTTCGTCCCACCATCAACTCAGTCACAGCATGGGCTTATCTACCAGGTAACAGGTTCCAGACACTGTGAGAACTCATAACTCACATCATCAACAATCCTTATGTTCTGGCCAAGACTTATCTGTCCGTCCTGGGCCACATGGTTTGTGTACATAAGTCACCGCCTTTGCTCAGCTCCATCTTCACTGCCTCCAGATGTGGCTCCAGACAGTTTACTTCCCCAAACATCACACCATGGACCTCCATGTTGACAGTCCTCCCCAGGGTGCTCTCATCCCTCCAGTGGTGGACGGACCCATGTCATGTCTGCACAGGGTTTCCCTTCCTCTCCTCCTCCCCAGACAAGATGATCATCGATGCATCCCTTGTAGGCAGGGGAGCACACATGGGCAATCACATAACACAGGGAGCATGGACTCCTTGGGAATTCAGGAGGCACATCAACATCCTGGAACTCCGAGCTGTAAGAAAAGCATGCCAAGCCTTTCTCCCATTCATCTGTTCCCATCATGTTCTTATCATGTTGGACAATACCACCACTGTTTTCAACATCAACAAACAAGGGCACGAGATCAGCTGTTCTATGTGCAGAAGTGGTCCATCTCTGGAATTGGTGCATCACCCACCATAGCCTCTTGTCTGCAGCCTATCTCCCAGGGACACACAATGTGATTGTGGACTCGCTAAGCAGGCAGTTTGCAATTGACTGAGTGTGAACTTCATGACTCTGTAGTTTGTGCCATCTTCAACTGATGGAGGATACCTACCAAAGACTTCTTCACCTGCCACATAAACAGCAAATTCAACACGAACTGCTACAGGGCAGGACTTGGTCATCACTCTCAGGGCTATGCTCTCATACTCACCTGGTCAGACCAAATCAATTACGCCTTCCCTCCTCTACCTCTACTGCCTCCAGTACTCCGTAAGATCAGATGAGACAGCGTGATCGTCATTCTGATCACGCCCTGCTGGCCCTGACAGTTTTAGTTTCCCAACCTCCTATGTATGTCAACCCGTCCAACAATTCCCCTCCCAATCTTCCATGATCTGCTGATGCAATGCAACAGTGAAATCAGACATCCCAATCCATAGGCACTCCACCTTAGAGCGTGGTATTTGGATGGGCATCTACTCTAGAATGGGCCTGTTCCTCAGCTGTGCAAGACATCCTCTCCTGCAGCAGGAAAGAATCCACTAGGCACAGTTATAGGGCCAAGTGGAAATGTTTCACTTCCTGAGCCCAACAAAAGGAACTTTCCCCAGAATGGGTGGGGATTTCCCTCCTCCTTGACTACCTCCTGTCCTTGAAGGCATCGGATCTTGCCCTCAGTTCTTTGAAAGTCCATCTAGCAGCCATTAGCGCATTCCACCCTCCTGTGGAAGAGCACTGTGTTCACACACCTGTTAACTGTTTTGGAAGGCCCTCATCAGAACCTTCCCACCCATCCAACCCATCACTCTGCAGTGGGATCTGAATATAGTTCTATCCGTACTAATGAAATCACCCTTTGAACTGTTGGCATCATGCTCTATGTCATGAAAGTCGCCTTCCTTATTGCTATGACTTCTGCAAGAAGGGTCAGTGAGCTTGGGGCCATGATGGTAGACCCTCCCCCACCCTTCACAATTTTCCATAAAAATAAAGTCGTCTTGTGCCTGCATCCCAAATTCCTGCCAAAGGTAATCTCCCAGTTTCATAGAATCATAGAATATCAGGGTTGGAAGGGACCTCAGGAGGTCATCCAGTCCAACCCCCTGCTCAAAGCAGGACCAATTCCCAACTAAATCATCCCAGCCAGGGCTTTGTCAAGCCGGGCCTTAAAAACCTCCAAAGAAGGAGACTCCACCACCTCCCTAGGTAACGCATTCCAGTGCTTCACCACCCTCCTAGTGAAAAAGTTTTTCCTAATATCCAACCTAGACCTCCCCCACTGCAACTTGAGACCATTGCTCCTTGTTCTGTCATCTGCCACCATTGAGAACAGCCGAGCTCCATCCTCTTTGGAACCCCCCCTCAGGTAGTTGAAAGCAGCTATCAAATCCCCCCTCATTCTTCTCTTCTGTAAACTAAACAATCCCAGTTCCCTCAGCCTCTCCTCATAAGTCATGTGCTCCAGCCCCCTAATCATTTTTGTTGCCCTCCGCTGGACTCTTTCCAATTTTTCCACATCCTTCTTGTAGTGTGGGGCCCAAAACTGGACACAGTATTCCAGATGAGGCCTCACCAATGTCGCATAAAGGGGAACGATCACGTTCCTCGATCTGCTGGCAATGCCCCTACTTATACAGCCCAAAATGCCGTTAGCCTTCTTGGCAACAAGAGCACACTGTTGACTCATATCCAGCTTCTCATCCACTGTGACCCCTAGGTCCTTTTCTGCAGAACTGCTACCCAGCCATTCGGTCCCTAGTCTGTAGCAGTGCATGGGATTCTTCTGTCCTAAGTGCAGGACTCTGCACTTGTCCTTGTTGAACCTAATCAGGTTTTTTTTGGCCCAATCCTCTAATTTGTCTAGGTCCCTCTGTATCCAATCCCTACCCTCTAGTGTATCTACCACGCCTCCCAGTTTAGTGTCATCTGCAAACTTGCTGAGAGTGCAGTCCACACCATCCTCCAGATCATTAATGAAGATATTGAACAAAACCGGCCCCAGGACCGACCCTTGGGGCACTCCGCTTGAAACCGGCTGCCAACTAGACATGAAGCCATTGATCACTACCCGTTGAGCCCGACGATCTAGCCAGCTTTCTATCCACCTTACAGTCCATTCATCCAGCCCATACTTCTTTAACTTGGCGGCAAGAATACTGTGGGAGACCGTATCAAAAGCTTTGCTAAAGTCAAGGAATAACACATCCACTGCTTTCCCCTCGCCAGTTATCTCATCATAGAAGGCAATTAGGTTAGTCAGGCATGACTTCCCCTTGGTGAATCCATGCTGACTGTTCCTGATCACTTTCCTCTCCTCTAAGTGTTTCATAATTGATTCCTTGAGGACCTGCTCCATGATTTTTCCAGTGACTGAGGTGAGGCTGACTGGCCTGTAGTTCCCCAGATCCTCCTTCTTCCCTTTTTTAAAGATGGGCACTACATTAGCCTTTTTCCAGTCATCCGGGACCTCCCCCGATCGCCATGAGTTTTCAAAAATAATGGCTAATGGCTCTGCAATCTCATCCGCCAACTCCTTTAGCACCCTCGGATGCAGCGCATCCGGCCCCATGGACTTATGCACGTCCAGTTTTTCTAAATTGGTCAATCCATTCACTTACCTGTTTTCTTCCCAAAGCCACACACATTTGCTGAGGAACGACTCCCTATACAGCCGACAGGTTTTGGCCTTCTACCTGCAGAGGACAAGACTCATCAGAAAGCCCCCCAAACTGTTTGCTGCACTAGCAGAAAGACATAGGGGTCAGGCAATCTCCATCCAGAGAGTCTCCAAGTAGATTTTGTGTTGCATTACATTTTGCTATCAACTATCTGGCTTGCCTGCCTTCCCCTAGTGGGGTACAGACCCTTTCCTCAAGAGTCCAGACTTCAACCACAGCCTCCCTTCAAGACGTCCTACTCCAGGACATACGTAGAGCGGCCACATGGAGTTCCATGCACACCTTTGCAATGCATGCCTTAGTACAAGACTTGGCAGCAGATGCCTCCTTCGGCTGGCAGTCGTCTGCATGACTGTTCCGTCTTCATCCTCACACCCTCCTCTGACTTAAGTACTGCTTGCTAATCACCTTCAGTGGAATACAGTAGGGATCATCACTCAAAGAAGAATAGGAGGTTACTTACCTCTAACTGGAGGTTCTTTGAGATGTGTGGTCCCTAACGGCATTCCACTTCCTGCCCTCCTTCCCCTCTGCTATGGATATGTCTGGTTCAGGGTGGAGAAGGAACTGGAGATACAGTCAGTGTGCTCTGCCCTTTATTGCTTCGAACGAAACCACGAGGTGAGCCAGAGCACATGCGTGGACCAAGGACACTACTTTCAAATTCTTCAGCTCCAGGCTCTTAGTGTGCATGCGTAAACCCCTCAGTGGAATACAGAAATGGACTCACACATCTCCAGTTACAGGTAAGTAACCTCCTCTTATTGTACCAAAGTTCCAAAGAACAGCTCTGCTTGAGAGTATCACAGGGAGCCAATGCCTTGGTTATCTCAGTGCTTGTGACTGGCAAGTTTGTGTTGATTATTTTTTCTTTTTGTCTGAAGACGTTTTTTTCAGGCTGCCTGTGAGGTTCCAGAACTACAGGATAAATTTAATGTTGATGAATATTCTGACTTGGTGACTCTCACTAAACCAGTTATCTATATTTCCATTGGAGAAATCATCAATACACACACTGTAAGTATACACCAGTCACATTTCTTTCTTGCAGAATGGCCCTTCTGAACAATCTGTTACTGATTGGTTTAATGTGAGTCATTTAACAAATTCAAATGTTGACGATATTGTTAAAAAAAAAAAAAAGGCAATATCTTCTGAACTGTCAAAATGTTGAGGTCAGTAGTTTGTCTGCTTATGGCCTTTTAAATATTTTTTTCTTGTGAAGTCATCTGATACTTTAAGTCTTATGTGACGATGCCAGACATTTGCCTGCTAGTATCTTCACTGGAAATCATATGAACTGAGAGGAATTCTCTCCGAAGAATATAATTGTAAAAATTTAATTCTTAAATTGGGTGAAACAAGACACAGGAGGAACAGTTAAATGATTATTTATATTTGTATTAATCTAGCTGCTTTTAGATCATCAAGATGCGATTGCGCCTGAGCACAATGATCCAATTCATGAGCTGCTGGATGACCTGGGGGAAGTTCCCACTATTGAGTCCCTGATAGGTGAGCTGCTCTTCTTTTACATGAGGGAGAGGTGATGTTCTTCTGAGTAGCTCCAAGTGTGGTTTAAAAAAATGTCTATAAAGAATAATCATGGTTTGGGAGGGAATTGGTGCTATACAAACAGCAGCAGCCTACAGTGTGCTAGGCTAGGTTACCCCATAGGGCTTTTCCATCTCTGTGTTCTATGAATCTGCGAGGCACTGTATCAAATGCTTTCCTCCAACGCCAGGGCTCTGTGTGCCTCCCATTCCACCATACCAGGTTTCCTCATTTCCCCCCCTCTCTCTCACACCTTCCCCTCTCACCAGGGACCTGAATTTCTAATGTGAAAAAACATTGACAAATCTTTCAGTCCTCGTTCATGCAATGTAAAGGTCTGGTCTACGCTTAAAAGTATTGCTAGCATATCTATGTCAGTAACTGATATAGCTAGCTATACCAGCAAATGCTTTAGTGTAGACATATCAGCCAAAAAAGTCCTTTTGCCATTATAGCTTATTTAATTCAGGGAACTGTTATAAGCTATACTAGCAAAAGAACTCTTTTGCCAATGCAAGCTGCATCTCTACTAACTATACCAAGAAACCCTTTTAAGTATAGATAAGGCCAAAGAAGCAACAAAGGGCACAAACTGAATTTCTTTTCTTTGGTAGGTTACATTTAAGCTTATCAGTAGAGAGGCAGGTTGAGATGCAAGATGTATCACATGCACACTCTGATTTGTATACCTCTGAGGCATCAAAACCTGAATTTACATGAAATCTTATTTTTTTTAGTATCCACTTTCTATCAGTTTGCTGAAGAAGGAGGAATGTTAGGAAATCCTAAATTATGTACACCTCTACCTCGATATAACGCTGTCCTCGGGAGCCAAAAAATCTACCGCGTTATAGGTGAAACTGCGTTATATCGAACTTGCTTTGATCCACCGGAGTGCGCAGCCCTGCCCCCCCAGAGCGCTGCTTTACCGTGTTATATCCGAATTCGTGTTATATCGGGGTAGAGGTGTATGTGCAAGATGAACATGTTTTTAAAACCCATAAATGGGCTGTAACAGGTCCTTTAAAAAATGAATTGATTGTTTTTCTGTACGGTGCTGGAAGGAAAATATTGCAGACCCAAACAGCCCATGACAATGTTTGAATACGTTCTAATCTGTGTCACTATCATCACATCTGGCATTGGGAAGTAGGTTCTCTCATTGATAACTCACCTCTCCTTTTTCTACCCCAGGGGAAGGGTCTGGTAACATTAATGACCCCAACAAGGAGATGCTAGCAAAGACTGAAGTTTCTCTTACACTGACTAATAAATTTGATGTTCCTGGCGATGAGAATGCTGAAATGGATGCAAGGACAATCCTGCTGAAGTGAGTGATGGGTAATGGCCTATAGCAGTCGTCGCTTAAATAAGGGGTAGGATATTAATTTTATGGGTTGGACTATGAGGGAAGAAAAAGGCAACAGCGATGTCAGGAAATGAAAGAATAAATGAATCCAAGCCTGTTAAAGTGCACACAGCTTGTATCCAGGGCCCTTAGATTTTGTGGCCAGTGAATTTGTTCCAGGAAAACCCCATTGCCAAAGCATAATACTGGGGAATGTAAGGTTTGTCATTTTAAAAAAGTGTCTCCAGTTTTCATGATTGTGAAGAAAACCTTCCAAACACAAGCTGAGTATAACTGATACAGTGAAGTCCGTACAAAGTCTGAAACAAGAGCTCTGAAGTGTGTGAATGACCTTTATTGATCTTGAATACATTTTAACTCTGAAGCCACTGATGTCAATTTTAACTGTGGACAGGAGCACCGCCTAGGGCGGCGGAAGGTCCCGCCCGAAATGCCGCCGCCCCCCCACAGAGGCAGCGGAAGGTCCCGCCGCAGAAATACCACCGTGGTCGCCGCCCCCCAAATCGCAGTGCCTTAGGCGACTGCCTAGGTCGCCTAATGGGTTGCGCCGGCCCTGACTGTGGACATAGTTAACTAATTCACAGCAGATCATTTTAGCAGAAACACCCCCTTAGATCTCTTCTCCAGTGCAGTTCTGTGTTATCAATACAAAATTTGTGACACATTGAAAATTTCGGGGAGGGGAAATGTGCAATATTTGTAATAGTTAACTCGCATGTTAAATTCAACACAAGAAATACTGTACTGTTGCATTCATTATTTTCATACTGAATTCAGTAAAAATCTTAAGGCAGATTCTCTGCTGTGCCTCTCAGGAGGCGCAGGCTGCAGGAGCAGGGAACACAAGTGGTAATTTACAGGGTTTTTCCCCCAGCTGTCAATCATCTGCTCTAGCAGTATTGTAAACCCCAAAAGTTAAAATATCATGAGTTAGACCACAAAACATGAGATTGGCCTCAAAATTATGAGGTTCTTCTAAACAAAAATCACATTTTTAATCTCTTCTGATTTTGAATTTCCCTTTTCCCCCTTAGTATGTGTGATTGTGAGGAGATTGGGGCTAGCTCATTGTCACACATGCACAATTGATTGATTTGATTCTAGCTCAGTTTGCTTCTCTAAAATCCATACCTGCCAACATCTTGTGATTAAAAAAGTACATTACACAAACTTGTATTAAAGGGCTACCTGATGATGCAGAGGTTTTCCACGTTCTCTTAAAATTCTAGTTAGTTAATTTTGTTCCCCCATCTATACATCTGTTAATTATGTTGTCATCGTCCCCCGCACATCAACTCTGCACCCTCACTCCCAAATCAATTTTGTGTCCCCTTTGACCTCACATCTGCCCTATAGCTACCTCAGTCTGCTCATCCAGCCATATCTTTCCCTTCCCTTTGCCACCTCCCTCAGTAAACCTCTGTTCCTTTTGCAGCACAGGTGGCTCTTCACTCACAACCCCTCCCAAACTGAGGGGGCATCTCCAGCAAGGATCCTCTTCTCTCCTTTCTAGGCCTGGTGTTGTAGGGATAGAGAAGAGGAGGGAGGAACAGAGAGAAGCCAGTCCATTTGTAAAAGGGTGAGGGAGGGAGCAGAGCCACCCTGAAGCCAGAGAACTTTGCTTAGCAGTACCCCATGGGGCAACACTCTCACCCTCAGGCCACTTGTAGCTCCTCCCATGGCTATTTAAGGGCAGTGCCGCCTTGACCCCCTCAGTTCCTTCTCACTGCCTGCAGTTGGAAGCGGAGCATTCTGTTGTATTTTACCTCACACTCTTTTTGCTGTCCATGAGTTTTCTCCCCTTTTTTGGTATGTAGTTAGTTATTGCTGGTAGTGCCCTTCTGATAGATTAGTTAGGAGTTGAATAGTAAGATATGCCTGGTGTGATGCCTTTGCCAGGTTTTAAGCACTGTCCTTCCTGTGGGGTACCTATCCCCATACTAGGTGCTTGTGCCTGGGAGAGGGGTATATTAAGACAAAGTATTCTGTTTGTAAATCCTTTAAAAAGAGAATGTGCATGGCTAGAGACTTATGCCTCAAGCAGCACCTTTATAGAGAAACCAATGAGAATGTATCAGTGCTGTGATCCTCCTCAGATCGCCTGGCCCTTCAAAAGGTTTTGGTGCCGCCACAAGCCGCTGGTGCACAGCCAGACTCTGACTTTCCTCCAAGAAGAAGAAGAGATCATTCTAGTTCATCTCCTTCACCAAGAGAGAGGTCTCAGAAGACTGACTGTAGTCACTCCAATTTTGCTCTTAAGTTGGTCTCAGTCCAGACTATTTAACCGATGTCTTCCATCTGAACTGGGGATTGGCACTGATGTATGCCATCTTCAAGTAGATGCTGCCATGTATTCCACTTAGGTGTGTGCAAGCCCAGCTCATCAGAGCCAGAGAATTTTGTCTAGCCGTACCTGTAGGAGGTGGTGCTCATGGCCATAATCCCTCCCCATGCTGTCTGAGACATTGTCACCCTGACCCCTCTTGAGTTTCTTTTTACTGCCTGTGGCTGAAGTCAGAGCTGCGTGGTTCTTAACCTCACAACGCCTCATCCTTTAGCTAGTGTTCTAGTTGTATATAATTAGTTAGTACCCTTAGCATTAGTGTTAGTTAGTTCGTCTAGTTAAGTGTTTTCCCAGAGTTCAAACGTTGTCCGTCGTGTGGGTGAGCGATCCCAAATGACTCTCACACAAGGTGCTTGCTCTGCATAGGTAAGGCTCACTTCGAAGAGTGGTGTCCATATGTATATCATTCACAAAACAGACTCTAGTGGCTAGAGCCCTTTGCCTGAAGCAGCACCTTCTTGAGCAGGCCATGAGGCCTGTTTCAGCATTGAGGCTTGTGTTGGATTGGAGGTCGACCTCAATCAGTGGGACTGGCTTGCACTCTGGGACTGGTGCCTCTACAAAGAAGTGAAAAAGCTGCTCTCCATCAAGTGTGCCAAGGAAAAAGTCTCATAAGACCAATTGAGACATCTCCAGGTTTCATGGAGACTCTTTTCCTCATCCAGGAAGAAGTGTATGGCTACTGTTGGCACACGGGATGGAGCAGGTCCTTCTGACCACTCCCCAGTACCGTGTAGGGGTGCAAGTGGCCCATACCATCAACTCCGATTCTGGCCCCGTGTCATCCATTGAGTCTGGTGCCGAAGAGGACAATGCTAGCACCACTGTTTCCACACTGGCGGCATATCAGGCAGCGGTGGACCTCCTCTGCCTTTCTGTCCTGAGCTCTCCCTTGGTCCAGGACTTCACCAGGGCTATGGCATCCATGGCCTTGCTGTCTGCATGGGCTGCTGAAGCTTTGGGTCCATCGGCACCACATCCCAGTGCTCCCTTGCCACAGAATAGAAGTGAGGCTGGTGCCAGCTCAGCACAAGAAACCGCCTCAGCACCAGGAAATTCCCCAGCACTGCCGTTGTTACCATGGCTGCACTCTCTGCCCTCCACCTTGGCACTATCAGTTGCTGTGGTACCACTGCTGAGTTTGGTACCAACACCAGTGACAACTGAGGCGTACTCTGGTTCGTTGTGGTGAACTGCCATTGTAAGTACACAGTCCTTCCTTTCAGTCTGTCTCCTTCCCCACCCCATCCCAGGGTTTTACCAACTATATGACAGTGTACCTCAGGAAGAAAGGAATCCATGTCTTCACATATCTGCACAACTAGCTACTAAAGTCAGAAAAGTCAGGTCCAGAGAAGAAGTTCTTATCATATACACATTACACTGCTCACTTGACCATCTGGGTCTCATCCTACACAACATTGGTTATCAACATTGGTACCCCTCAGGAAATCGAGTTCATTGGGACCCTAATAGACACAGACTCAGAGAGAGAGTTTTTCCTGATCTACTATTTTCAGATGATTCACCTCCTTTGTCTCTGCAGTCTCAACATTCCACAAAAGTTCGGATGTGCCTGAGGGTCTTGGGCCACATCTCTGCATGCATGCAGGTTCAATTTGCCAGTTTGCGTCTTTGCCCTCTTCAAAAGTGGCTCAAGACACTTGACCATCTAATCCTTCACCGCTTAGAAAGGTTGATCGTGGCCTCCTTGCACTAGTGGACAGTTCAGGGGAATGTATGTCAGGGCATTCCCTTCATCTGGCCCTACCAACCAGGACTATTTTCACCGATGCCTCCCTGATGGGTTGGGGAGCACATTTGGGATTGCTGAAAGTTCAGGGTCTGTGGTCAGAGCAGGAAGCTCCATTGCATAACAATGTGCTGGAGCTTCACACCATCTACCATGCCTGTCACACTTTTCTAGACCTCATCAGGGGCTTAGCGAGTCACATACTTACCAACAATACCACCATGATGTATTATGTGAACAGGCAAGGAGGAGCACAATCCAGGGTGCTCAGTCAAAAGGCAATTATGCTATGGCAGTTCTGCATCGACGAGATCATCATTCCAATAGCCAATCACTTGCCTGGAGTCCAGAATCATCTCATGGACCATCTCAGCAATAATTTTTCTCTGAGTTATGAGTGGTCTCTGAAGCACAGTGTTCTGCGAGTCATTTTCGCGACTTGGACCATCCCAATGATTGACCTGTTCACTACAAGGGACAATAGGAAATGCCATCTGTTCTGCAGGCTCCCTGACGGACACCTTCCACCTCAGCTGCCACTCAGCTTCCCTATACGCTTTTCCCCCTTTCCTATGCGCTTTTTCTCCGATCCCAGTCATTCTGCAGGTTATCCTCAAGCTAAAAGCAGATTGGGCCAACCTCATCCTCATTGTGTCGGCATGGCCAATGCAGTGTTTGTTTACCAACCTTCTTGTGTTGTCAGTTCAGCATCCTATATCCCTTCCTCTTGATCCCAACCTGCTCACACAGAATCATGGTCACATTTTGCATCCTTTGCTCAGTTCCCTTCATCTTACTGCATGGCTGCTCTGTGGTTGAATGAGGAGGGAGAGAAATGTTTGGTGGCTGTTCAACAGGTCCTACTCAGTAGTAGAAAATTCTATACCGGAATGTCCTACTCAGCAAAATGTAAGCAGTTTTCTATGTTGACATTGGCCCATGGATTTCAGCCAATGCTGGCTTGTATCCAGGACTTCCTGGAGTACTTGCTGCATCTTCAGTCGTCGGGTCTTACGCTTAGTTCGTTGAAGGTGCATCTGGCAGCAGTCTCAGCTTTTCAACCACCCATTCGTGAAAGATTGGTATTTTCCAATGCCATGGTAGCAAGATTCTTTAAAGGAATTCTTCGTCTCCATCCACCCATGCGGGAAATGGTTCCTTTGTGGGACCTTAATGTGGTCTTAGCAGCTCTGACGGGACCTCTGTTAGAGCCTCGGGCATCTTGTCCCTTTCATCTCATGTAAAAAAACTGCATTCCTAGTGGCGATAACATCTGCAAACAGAGTGCGAGTTGCACGCTTTCATGGCAGAACCTCCTAATACATGATTCTCCAAAGACAAAGTGATGATGTGGCTGCACCCAAAATTTTTGTCTAACGTGGTTTTTTTCCCTAAGCCGCTTTCATCCCTGGAGGCACAGCGCCCTCACTCATTAGATGTCAAATGATGTCTAGCCTTCTACTTGGACAGGACTAAACTTTTCTGTGCTTCATTCCTGCTCCTGGCAGTTTCCCAGTCTCAGTGAGCTCTGCTCTCTTCTTGGAGCAACCACCCTAGGGCTGCTTCCCTGGCCCCTTAGTCCCAGGACCCACCACAGGAGGTAGCTGCACTCCAGTGTGGCTTTCCTTCCTCTGCAGCCTGTCTCAGTCCCTCTCAACTGTCCATTAGCAGCCCTTTATAGGCCCAAATGCAGCCCAATCCTCTTTAATTGGCTGGATTGGACTCACTACTCTGGTCCAGGGAAGCTGGGCTTAGTCTATCGAGAGGGACCAGCTACTCTGTGACAGGTAATAATAAAGTCAGACAGTTAGCTGAGATGTGTACCGTTTGCAAAAATATTACAGCAATTTCCCACATTCATCACACAGGTGCATTGGGACACAAATGCACCCTGCGACCAGTGTACTGTTACATCATCCCATTCACTTCTTCCACTTCTTCAAGGCTCGTTGTCGAGCTTACTTTCCAAATTTTAGCCTAACTGGTGCATGTATCTTCCTCCAGCCCAGAGCTGTGCCCTAGTCCTCTGGCATAGGTCTCTCCATTTCAGGATGGCACAGACCACCCCACAGTACCCAAAACACACCATCTCCATCTCCTGTAGGAGTTCCATCTTCATTCTTTCCTATCCAGAGTGCCTTCCAGGTATGAGCGGCCCTCTTCACAGGGTTCCATGGCCGGCCTTTTACATACTGCAGGACCAAGGGATGTATCTCTTTTCAGGATAAATTCTGCTTAGGGGACATTCTTTGGTTTTGGATGGTTGATTTGTTTGTTTCAGTGTGGTTTTTTGTGGCATTTGGGTAGATGGAAGTGTCTGGGTATACCCCATGGGGAAAAGAGCAGTGGGATGCCATATGCAATCAGATGTTTAACATAGCCAAAGTCCTCATTCCAGCAGGCTTAAGGACTCGCTCATTGAGGGCTACTGCTGTCTCTGGCCTATTTTAAGCCATATCCTCTTGCTGAGATTTGTAGAGCAGTCACTTGGAGTTCAGTCCACATATTCACCATATACTAGCATCCCACTCTGATGCTGGGTGTGTGGTGCTACAATCTTTATTTAATTGAGAGTTCCTCAGCCCACCTTCCATGTGGACTGGACAGCTCATGAATCTCCCAAGAGTGGGAATGCACAGAGGCCTTTGAGAAAGAAAAGTTACCTAACAGTAACTGTGGTTGTTTGAGAGCTGCCACTTTACTTTGTCACTGCCCACCCACCTTCCACTCTGCCTCAAAGTTCTCTACACAGCTTGGACTCTGCTGTCCAGGTGAAGGACCTGAGGCTGTTGTGGGGCTGCACTCCCTTATATACGATGTGATGTACTGACTGTTCAGCACCATGGGGTTCAGGTGGGGAGGTGCTCATGCAGTCCCAACAATGCACCTTTCAAGATAGCTCTGCAAGCTCAAGGTGCGGGGGCACCACCCCCAGAGTGGGAATGCACAGAGGCAACTCTCAAACAACCATAGTTACTAGTAAGGAACTTCTCTTTCTTTGCATTTGGAGAAGTGAGGCATGAGTATTGACAACATAAGGACTGTTGACTGGTTTGGATGTGGATCCAGTATGAATATGACTGGTCTAATATGAATCAGTGACAGTTTTGTTCTCATTTCAGAGCAGGAATAGGATTTTTGTTTGTTTTGTTTTGTTTTAATGTTGTTTTGTTTCCTACTCTCCTTGGTTTCTTTTCAGTACAAAGCGCTTGATTGTAGATGTAATCCGCTTCCAGCCGGGGGAGACACTGACTGAGATCCTGGAAACTCCAGCCACCCAGGAGCAGGTATGGAAAAGTAGTTTGGCTCCACTCCTTAGGATACTGGATTCTTTTAAATCTAGATATATGTGGCTGCAGGTACATATGAAAGCCTAAATTCTGGGATTGTAATATATGTGGCAATTTAGGTGTGGCATATCGATGTTTCAGACCTGTGTATGTAAAATATCTCTATAAATGGAGATTCCCTATGTCCTAATAAGGAGGAGATGATGGAAAATGATAAAATACAGGGAGGATCTGATGAGAAACAGTCAAATGAAAAAAAGTCCCATTCAATTACATCATGCAATAGGGGACAGCCAAAAAATGACAAGTTTTTAAAATGCTTATATACCAATGCTAGAAGTCTAAATGATAAGATGGGTGAACTAGAATACCTAGTATTAAATGAGGATATTGTTATAATAGGCATCACAGAAACCTGGTGGAATGAGGATAATCAATGGGACACAGTAATACCAGGTACAAAATATATCAGAAGGACAGAACAGGTCGTGCTGGTGGGGAAGTGGCACTATATATGAAAGAAAACATAGAATCAAATGAAGTAAAAATCTTAAATGAACTAAATTGTACTATAGAATCTCTATGGATAGTAATTCCATGCTTGAAAAATAAGAATATAGCAGTAGGGCTATATTACAGACCACCTGACCAGGATGGTGTTCGTGACTCTGAACTGCTCTGGGAGATTAGAGAGGCTATTAAAATAAAAAACTCAATAATAATAATAATAATAATAATAATAATGGGGCATTTCAACTGGGTACATATGACCTCAGGAAGGGATGCTGAGATGAAGTTTCTTGACACCTTAAATGACTGCTTCTTGGAGCAGCTGGTCCTGGAACCCACAAGAGGAGAGGCAATTCTTGATTTAGTCCTAAGTGGAGCACAGGATCAGGTCCAAAAGGTGAATATAGCTGGACTACTTGGTAATAGTGACCATAATATAATTAAATTTAACATCCCTGTGGCGAGGAAATCTCCACAGCGGCCCAACACTGTAGCATTTAATTTCAGAAAGGGGAACTACACAAAAATGAGGAGGTTAGTGAAACACAAATTAAAAGGTACAGTACCAAAAGTAAAATCCCTGCAAGCTGCGTGGAAACTTTTTAAAGACACCATAATAGAGACTCAACTTAAATGTATACCCCAATTTAAAAAATATAGTAAGAGAACCAAAAAAGAGCCACCGTGGTTAAACAACAAAGTAAAAGAAGCAGTGAGAGGCAAAAAGGCATCCTTTAAAAAGTGGAAGATAAATCCTAATGAGGAAAATAGAAAAGAGCATAAACTCTGGGAAATTAAGTGTAAAAATATAATTAGAAAGACCAAAAAAGAATTTGAAGAACAGCTAGCCAAAGACTCCAAAAGTAATAGCAAAAGTTTTTTTAAATACATCAGAAGCAGAAAGCCTGCTAAACAACCAGTGGGGCCACTGGACGATCGAGATACTAAAGGAGCACTCAAAGACGATAAGGCCATTGTGGAGAAACTAAATTAATTCTTTGCATCGGTCTTCACTGTTGAGGATGTGAGGGAGATTCCCAAACCTGAGCCATTCTTTTTGGGTGACAGATCTGAGGAACTGTCCCAAATTGAGGTGTCATTAGAGGAGGTTTTGGAACAAATTGATAAACTAAACAGTAATAAGTCTCCAGGACCTGATGGTATTCACCCAACAGTTCTGAAGGAACTCAAATGTGAAATTGCAGGACTAACAACTGTCATCTGTAACCTATCATTTAAATCAGCTTCTGTACCAAATGACTGGAGGATAGCTAATGTGATGCCAATTTTTTAAAAGGGCTCCAGAGGTGACCCTGGCAACTACAGGCCAGTAAGCCTCACTTCAGTACTGGGCAAATTGGTTGAAACTGTCGTAAAAAACAAAACTGTCAGACACATAGATGAACATAATTTGTTGGGAAATATTCAACCTGGCTTTTGTAAAGGGAAATCTTGCCTCACCAATCTACTAGAATTCTTTGAGGGGGTCAACAAGTATGTGGACCAAGGGGATCCAGTGGATATAGTACATTTAGATTTTCAGAAAGCCTTTGACAAGGTCCCTCACCAAAGGCTCTTAAGCAAAATAAGCAGTCATGGGATAAGAGAGAAGGTTCTCTCATGGATTAGTAACTGGTTAAAAGATAGGAAACAAAGGGTAGGAATAAATGGTCAGTTTTCAGAATGGAGAGAGGTAAATAGTGGTGTCCCCCAGGGATCTGTACTGGGCCCAGTCCTATTTAATATATTCATAAACAATCTGGAAAAAGGGGTAAACAGTGAGGTGGCAAAATTTGCAGATGATACAAAACTACTCAAGATAGTTAAGTCCCAGGCAGACTGCAAAGAGCTACAAAAGGATCTCACAAAACTGGGCAACAAAATGGCAGATGAAATTTAATGTTGATAAATGCGAAGTAATGCACATTGGAAAACATAATCCTAACTATACATATACACAGGGCCGGCTCTGGCTTTTTTGCC